AGATAAACAGATTAAGATTATTTATTTTTGAAAATAAAAATGAATTAGATTTTGTAAAAATAAGTGCAAATGTTCAAATTATTTATATTTATATATATATACATTATAAATATTTATGTATATAAATATTTAATTATCTATTATGTAATTATTCTTATAATTTTGCTCTTATAATGCTTATATACATTATATCTTTTTTAATAAAAATTTTTAATAAAGATTCAATTTGATTGTTTGATCTTTTTCCTTTTTTTTATTATCATTTCTCTAAATATTTATATACAATTAAGTTATAAAATGATTTCAATTTATTTTTAAAATTGAATCCTTTTACTAATTATCAATTCTCTCATATTTAATTTAATTTAATTAATTAAAAATGCTATTTATTTTTTAGAATGATATCATTAATGTAATATTAGTAAATTCAAAATATTATTATAAATATTAGTACTGTGCAATGCTTGTATAAATATGATTAATATAATTTTAAAAAGTAATATTATATTACATAACATAAAAAAATTTACCAAAAATATTTCATAAAATTTGTGCATAAATTTAACAATAAATTCAACATACAAAAATAACATTTGTCCTACCTGAATGTTTTTTTTTCTTTTTTTTATTATAAAAATTCAATATTATTTTTATCATTATTTTAAAAGATCAATTATTATACTTCATAAATCATTATGAAAATTATTAAAAAAATAAAATATTATACACAAAATAATATAATTATTATTACTAGCAGATGTAATAAATAAATATTTAATAAAATTATACATGCAATATTTTGCATATGAGTATCAAAATAATTATAATTGCATAACTTCAAGTAGGATGTGTACTTTTATATTTTTTTTCTTGTTTGTTTACTTTCATGTGCTAAATTTTTCTTTTATGAAATATTTCAAAGGAATACTATATTTTTATATTAAATGAATTTTATGACTCTGGAACATTAGAAGGATAAAATCCAAAATTAGATCTTAATTGTTCTAAAAAAACAAAAGTAAGAATAGTTTGTGGTGCTAATCTGATAAAAGCAGGTATATAGCCCTAAAATAAAATAATCAATATATTTTTAAAATCATATGATTAAAATTTTATTTTACATTAATACATTATTAAAAAAGATTATTATTTGAATAAACACATTCAAATATGATATATACAAATAAATTAAAATGATAAAAATATAAATATATATTATAATATAAAATATACAATCTTTTTTTAAATAATATCTCTTTAATCTCTTCTTAAATAAATTCTTTGCTATGATAAATCAACAGAAAAAATTAATAAAATTAACTATTGATAAATTATTTAAAACATTTAATTTATTATATATTTTATTAATTTATTATATATATTTTTATTCAATTTTAATATTTAATCTATGATATTGGATTATATGTAAATATATTTAATTATCATTGTAGATTATATATAAAATAGAAAAAAATATTTTATCCATAATAACTTTCACAATTAATGAATAATGAAAAAAAAAATGAGAAAAAGAAAATATAAATATATAATATTATTCTTGCAATAATAGTTATTACAAACAAAATCATTTCAATCTTTCCCATTTTAATTTAGAATATCTAATACAATCTAATCTATATACATATATATATGAAACTATATAATTTAAAAAAAAAAAATTATAAATTAAAAAATATTATATAAATTTTTAAGAACATGCAAAATTATTCTAATTTTTGATATTACAGTAAACAACAATGAACTATATATAAAAATATTATATACTATATACTATTCATACACTATTTATTATAAAAAAATAATATAAAAAATCATATATACATATAAAATTTTTATTCTACTTATTCTAAATGTATTTCAAATGTGTTTACCCAAATTATAATCTTTCCATTATTGAAATATTGCAAAATAGAAATCATAAAAAAACTTAATATAATAAGTAAAAAAAACTTACTTTAAAAAATGCAAATGGTCCATTTTTAGCAGTATACAAAAATAAATCCATTAAATTCTACAAAATATAA